CGGCAAATAGGAGACTTTTCACACGGATCGAGAAGAGTTACAATTCGACGACACTTCCGACGGCTGATGAAAAACTCTGTTCAGTGGCCTTCACAACAACACAGTGAGAGTTAACAATCTGAACGACTCTCATCATCCTATAACAGGCAAAGATCAAATAAACAATAGCCTTTGTAATGTTATAGTGGACGAGGTTATAAGCCAACAAGATTCTCGCCAAACGGCAGAAATTCATTTCTGCGTTTCTCAAACGCACACAAACCTGTGCGTTCATCAACAGACATCGAACTCTGAACGCAGAGTTAAATCACGAAACGCACCCATAAACGTGCGTTCTTCAAGCAGACTCAGCTATGTCCGCGAACTCTGAACGCAGAGTTTAAATTTCAACGCACCAGCAGCCTGTGCGTTTCCAAGTTCAGAACACACGAGGCCCGTGCGTCTCAAATCCCTAACAGAGTTAACGCCCATAACGCCAACTGAGGCGTTTTGACTTGTTCAAACGCAAGTCGAACGGCCTCAAAACCGTTATCCCACGTTCTGAGGGATCTTCGCCCACTTAGGACGCGGATTTAGGGATTGGTTACATCACTAACCCCCTATAATAACCGACTTACTCCAAACCGAGTAAGGGGTTGGCGGGTTGATAGGTTGATCAAGTCGGTTTCTGAGATAAAAAACCGCAAAGAGTTGAGGGGAGGGGGATCAAAACCACCCAGGTCAACAAATCTCGGCAGTTGAGTAATCGAAAGGAAGAGATCTTCGGGAGATCAAGGAACTGATCAACGATCAGTTAATCAAATCCGCGAAGGATCCTTTCATCAAAGGTATCATCCACGTGGCAATTAACCGACAATTTCGGTTTCCAACAACTCTGTTTAGAGTTTTAACTCATTCTGAGTTCTTAAAGCTCGTTAAGAGTTTTTAATTAGCTTGTAACGCAAGTTAATCACATCAAACCAGACCATTCGGTTTTCAAAAGCTCTTATCAGAGTTCTTACTCGTTCAGAGTTCTTCAACACTCGTCAGAGTTCTAAACCGAAGTCATCAAAACTACTTCAGTTATTCCAGTGAAGAAGGACGGTCGGATCGTCAAACGGAGAGCAAGTTCGACGCGATCAATCGAAGGAAGCAACTCCATCGCTACCAAGAAGAACCCAGTCTTAAACAAAGGAGAGAATCAAATCCATTCTCATTACTCTTTTGTAATCCGGAATCCAAATTGTAATCGATTTTGAGAGAATACAAGTCAAATTTTCTTTCTTTGTCTTTTTACATCAAATTTCCTACAAACAGGAGCACTATTTGATCTCGAGAGAGTTTTTGCTTCACATTGATCATCAGGCCTTGAAGACCCTTAATAGTCAGACTACCATCAACCGTATGCATGCTCGTTGGATTGCATATCTGCAGCGTTTCACCTTCGTTTTGAAGCATAAATCTGGGCAGCAGAATAAGGTTGCAGATGCACTCAGTAGGAGGGCTAGATTGTTGGTAACTTTGAAGGCTGAAGTGATTGCGTTTGAGTATCTTAAGGAGCTGTATGCGGATGATGACGATTGTAAGAAGTTTTGGGATGACTGTCTTCAAAATAGATCAGTTAAAGGCTTTCATATTCATGATGACTATCTATTTCATGACGATCAATTGTGCATACCCCAGAGTTCGTTAAGAGAGCAGATAATTCGAGACCTTCATGCTGGCGTACTAGGAGGACATTTGGGACGTGATAAGACAATTGCAGCCATTGAAGAACGATATTATTGGCCTCAGTTGAAGAAAGGAGCAGAAAGATATGTGCGGCGTTGTCCAATTTGTCAAGTTGCTAAGGGACAGTCTCAGAATACAGGATTGTATACACCCTTACCAGTTCCTGATGCGCCGTGGCATGATATTTCCATGGACTTTGTGTTGGGACTGCCTAGAACCCAACGAGGTATGGATTCTATTTTTGTTGTGGTTGATAGGTTTTCAAAGATGGCGCACTTTATTCCATGCAAGAAGACTGCGGATGCGAGCAACATTGCCAATCTTTTCTTTCGGGAGATAGTTCGTCTTCATGGAGTGCCAAAGTCCATCACATCCGATAGAGATTCCAAGTTCTTATCACACTTTTGGAAGACTTTGTGGCAGAGATTCAACACTTCTTTCAAGTTCAGTACTGCCTATCACCCCCAAACGGATGGACAAACTGAAGTGGTCAATCGCACCCTCGGTAATCTTCTTAGATCTATTTCTGGCGATCGACCAAAACAATGGGATCTTGCTTTGGCACATGCTGAATTTGCCTACAACTGTATGGAGAGTCGGACTACATGCAAGGCACCCTTTGCAATTGTGTATGGAAGGCTTCCGAATCACTATCTTGATCTAGCCCCGCTACCTAAACTTCCTGGACAGAGTGTTCCTGCAGATCATATGGTTGAAAAGATACGTGCTATTCAGCAGGAGGTGAAGGAGAAGATAGAGCAGTCTAATGCTAAGTATAAAGCCGAAGCTGATCAACACAGAAGGAGGAAGGTGTTTGAAGAAGGAGACATGGTGATGGTGTTTCTGCGAAAAGAACGTTTTCCCGTGGGTACTTACAACAAGCTGAAGAATAAGAAGTATGGTCCATGCAAAATACTGAAGAAGATTAGCGACAACGCTTATGTGGTTGACCTTCTTACAGATTTGGGTATTTCTCCTAGTTTTAATGTTGCAGATTTGTTTGAGTATTACCCACCAGAAACAGCTGTTCATGCAAGTGTAAGCTCGGGGTCGAGCTCTTTTCAAGCAGGGGGGACTGATGTAGAACACACATCAGACATGTTTATGTCAAAGTGGGGCAGTCGCAAATGCGGGCCTAGTCGAAGAAAATAACTTGTTTCGAAGAAACGACCGTAACTTTCAAACCGTACGTCGGAATTGGACGAATTATATATGAAAATCGACTATCTCGACGAGACGGAGCCATCCAAATCAAGCCCTTAGGGTTGGTTTGTGTTCTCAGATTCGCCAAATTCCTTACGGTTTGAGAGATAATTACAATTTTGTCCGTTTTTACTATTTTTAGTAATAATTTAGGAGTCTGTTTTGTTTAGGTAACAAATCCGATTTGATCTCAGATTTGACCGGTGGACTTTCCTATTCATAAGGAGTCTTTTTAGGAGTTTTAATGTTTTAGGAATTCTATACCATTTTTGGTAAGTTGAGAGTCCTTGTAGGAATTAGAGTCCTTGTAGGAGTCTTGTTTCTTTTTCTATTTAATAAGAGCCTTGTAAGCCCTAGAGGCATAACTTTGATTAATAAAATTTCGTTTTTCTTCAATATTTACTTCGTGGACTCGAAGCTCTTCGTGGATTCGAAGATTTTCCTTGGTGGATTCCGAGGCTATTACTTCCGCGCTGCGTCACATGCCCAATCCATTTGAGGGCCCAAACTGAATTGCAGGTCCACAACCAAAAGACCTTAAGTAGGCTTTGGCCTTAAAGAAAAGAAATGTATTCTTCTCAACTACATCAGAAACCCACTTGTAAACCCCAATTGTGCCGACGAAGCTTGTTTCCAAAGCTCGTCTGCACCAATTCGAGGCTTCCTGGCAGCGAACATGAAGTTCGCCTGAGTTCTCCAAAACAAAAAAATCGCCTGAGCTAGGGTTCTTCGAGCTCGCCTCCAACGGATCGAGTCTCGCCTGCAGCAAATCGAAACTCGCCTGAGACTCGAGTGTCAAGCTCACATTCAAAAGAACCGAAGCTCCCTGCAGCGAAACATGAAGCTCGCTCGACTTCAAAACGAAGTTCACTTGACTTCGAACACGAGGTCCAACTGTATTGAGTACAAGGCTTGCTTGAATTGAGCACGAGGCTCGCCTGATAACGAACATGAGGTTCGTTTGAATCGAGCACGAGGCTCGCCTGAGAACGAACACGAGGTTCGTTTGAATTGAGCATGAGGCTCGCATAAGAACGAACACGAGGTTCGTTTGAAGCAAACCGAAGTTCGCTGAAGCTTTCAAGCCCGAAGCTCGACTGAATTGAGCACGAAGCTCGCCTGAAATCGAGGTAACCTCCTCCTTTTTCCCTAATTCCCGCACCCGTTAGGGTTTGTTCTTGATGGCCGCAGCCACCACTTTTACTCCTGCACATTATGGTTGAAACCCTAGGGTTTCCTGATGTTGTCGCCGCCATCTCCAATTATTGACAGCGAGACCGCCAGCAGAACATCGCCAGCGGGGAGCGTGGCGCTTGACGACAAACTGAAAATCTATTTTTTTCTTTCGATTTTAATTCATAACCAGATTCAACAACAGGATCCGAGACTTGTCCAGATCCAGAATCGAAAAAAAAGATGATTTCTTGCTTTAGATCCGAAAAAAACATTCGAAAGAAAACACAAGCCAAAACTTTAAACTTTTACTATTCCTCCGTGAACAATTCTTAATAATCCACAGATTAAAATCAAAAACCCAATTTTAAATCTTAAACCCCTAAAAAATAATCACGGTGACTCTGATACCACTTGTTGTACTTAATCGTAATTTAAATCATAGAGATTAAACATCAATAAGAGTGGAAGTTATATCTGAATTCATTGCTTGGATCTGAATTAGGGTTTTGATGATCTTCTAATTTTAGGATTTCTCCTTTAGTATATCTTTAGATGGGGATAAGAGATTTGAGTGTGTTAACCCTAGATTAGGGAACATAACCCCATATATAGGTGTTATACGTTTATAATTTGACTCATCATTAAATTATAATTACAACCTTGTATCTGCATATTTAGCCCATGGTTTATTTAAATACTCATTAACTCAAATTGATTGATCACTTTATATGGGTTATCCTTAAAGATAGCAATACACACTGATAAATATATGTATCCATAAATTAGATTTAATTATATTTAAATCCAACATCCTCCGGTTAAAAAAAGGCAAAAAATTAAAGTTAACATATAATACTTTATTTCTTTATTAGTTTATTATTCTTTCTCGGTTCCCTCCTTTATAAATACCCAGCTCATGAGAGGAGAGGAAAAGCAAAAAACAGAGACAAGAGGCAAAGCCGGTCCTTATAGGATTCCGACGTTAAAACCATTGGAAGCTCCGAAACCATGGTAATTGTTTTTGATTCTCCTATTATTCGTTGTTTTCCCCCTTTCTTACTCTGTATTCGTATTTTTTTTTTTACATACTCTTTTCTCTGAGAACCCGGTAATTTTTTGATCCAATACCCAAACGCCAAAAGGGATTCCGACCCGACCGCGTGCCGAAATAAATCATCCGCAACGCTCCTTGCTAACTTGCGCTTCTTTGGCCGTCCGGTGCAGCAGCGTAAATATTCGACGTTGGCAATCTTTTGAGATTGATATTTTAAAATCACTTTTTTGTTGGTTTACACGCTTCCAATGTGACTTAGGAACCACTCCATTCATTAATATTCTCACTTTATAGATAAAGGCCATTTAGTACTTATAATATCCCGAGACTGGTTTTATTTTCCAAAAGGTGGTCTTGGGTTTTTTTGAACTTTCTTTAAATTGCCTTTTAATTTGAAGAAGTCAGGTGTGGGAATATCGAAGTCCCACGCCTTTCGAGTTTGACTAATTTGCGCCAGAAGTTCTGCGGTAACAACGAAGAGGGCTGCAGCCCGTTTCAATTATATTATTTATTTTAATTTAATCATTTGTTTACGAATGGTCTTTGTTCTCATTAAAATTTTTAAATTAGTAAATGAATAAGTTAAGCAAGGATGATCATTGGTTAACAAGACGTGTTTAACTCTAGCCCGTAAATTGAGGCATTGTACGGCTGTTGTTTGAGGCGCAGGTTAGCAAAGAGAACGAGGATGAGCACGAGGCGGTGCTGACAGCTCCGCTTGCGTTGGAAGGGGGGTTGGCTGCGGAGTACCGGCAGCCTAACGTGCTCCAGCAGGTGTTTGGGCTTTTCCGAGGCATTAGACCGGGAACTGATCTCACAAATTTTCAGGTTCGTACTATAATCATTGTTTTTTGTACTCCGAGAAGGCTAATTTGTATAGTACTACCTAAGGTTTTTTGCGCATGTATGTTAAAATACCAAACGGTTACCAAACGGTTTTTTATAGAGTACCCATGGACATTCTATAAGAGAGGAGAGATAGAGAGAAATGAATGAAGAGGGGACCTCTAATTTGCATTGGGATCCCCTCCTCATTCATTTCTCTCTATCTCTCTCCTCTCTTATAGAGTGCCCATGGGCACTCTATAGAAAACCTGAATACCAAATTATACTCTTTTAAGTTTGGTGTTCACTTATTATTGTTCTCAATTCTCATCACAATTTATGGGTTTTCTTGTAGTGATATTTCATATTGTATTAAAGCAATACAAATCAAATCCCAACCATCACTAACTTAGAATGGATTTGAATAAAATATTTCATTATTATATGAATTCAGATTTTAACCATAGAAAAGGTGGTCAATTTATAGGAATATGTTAGAATACAAATTTGTAGCCCTTACGAATCCATAGTTTAGCCATATATAGAAAGAGTGGTTTGCTTATAATGATAGGTTAGAGTACGAAATTATAACCCTAACAGCAGCCCTAAAATGGGATTAAATTTTATGAGATGTCTCATATCCTCCCCATGTTAACGAACATCATATTTGTTTGCGGGAAAATTTTGATAGAGTATGTATTACGTGTGCCACAACAGTGGCGTAGCCAGGATTTTTTTTCCCTGGGCAAAAAAATAATCTTGGCTAGCGATGAATCCCAAGGCGCAAACATCGGCGAAGGAGAAACCTCGTCCTCCTGCTCATCCGTCATCGGAGTCGGCACAAAACCTAGTTTTGAGCGGGGAAGCGAGGAGAAGCTCCTCGAGTTCGAGGGGCTCCCCTCGTTGGAGTCGACGACGGGCCTCTAGAAGTCGACGATGGAGCTCCCCGGTTTCACTTTCTTGTCCTGGACAGGGCAAGCTCCATGTGGCTCCGCCACTGTGCGACAAGACATGGATACTTCAGGTAGTTATATGCTAATTAGTCACTAAAATTGAAAATATTCACAATTAATCAGAAGCTGTGATGACATCTTGGATTTTCCAAAACATACATTGATTGAACTCATTAATATTTTCAAATGTGTACAACGCCTTTAACTATAGCTGAAGGAACAGGTAATTACTATGACACGGTAGAAGTAGATTGATAGGACAATGTCCTATTTGGAAAATATGCAACTATGAGCCTATGATTATGTTACCTTCTATTCTCATTAGAGATTTTTAAAAATTATCTATTATGCGTAACAATTGATTTTGAAAGGCTAAATTACTATATTGATATTTTAATTAGACCTTTTTTAGTAATAAAACATTTTAAATAGACAATTCACATTAAGTCATTTTAAATAAATCAAAGACGCAACAAAACCCAAATTTTTTTATGGGTAATTTTTCGGCCAGAAAATGTTATTCTTTTACTACAAAAAGAAATTTTGCCCCTTGACCTCTCAAAGTTAGTGATATCGTACATAAAGATGAGGGGTTTATGTGAAATTGGTCGTTTGAAAATCTCTATTTTTCCTATCCACACTTCATCATCAACTCCTCATCTTCTCCCTCATTTTCCCTAATCCATTGTCATCAATAGCCTCCATCATTCTCACCCTCTCCTTCCTCATTCCCTCTCCTTACTCTCCCCTATTCTCCCCTTCAAAAGCTCCATGTTAAAGTATACCAAAAACACAAATAGAGTGTTGATAGGAACGATGAAGCTTTTTAAAGGGACAATTTTGCATAAATACCCTCTTTTGCCACATTATGATAATTAGGTATAGATTCAACAATTTTGAGAGGTCAAGGTGGTAGAAGAAATTTATTCAGTAAAAAAAATAATAGTTTCTCAATAAAAAATTAGCCGCTGATGAAAATTTGAATCTTGTTGCACCTCTAACTCATTTAAATTGAGTTATCTATTTAAATTATCCTATAAATAAAAAAGGTCTAATTAAAATACCCATATGGTAATTTAGCCAATTTCGAAATGGGACCTTAGGTACAAAGCCTACAATAACGTGTATCAGAGCCATTCTGTACTAGCATTCAAGTACTGAATGCTGTAGAAATTTGACTCTGTTGATTTTTGAATGCTGTAGAAATTTGACTATGTTGATTTGATGCTAGTTACTAAAGCAGTGATCAGGGTAAGAGAGTCAAAATGTAGGGTCCATTTTTTTTTACCATTTTTGTTTGTGTGAGAAAAAGTAAGGTCATTTTCAATAGTAATGAACGTAGTCCATTAAAGACAAGTACCAGGCCAGATGGTACCTGGTCCATTTATTATCCACCTGTCCTTTATCATATATTCATATTTACGTTTCATCACATGTCAAATAATTCATTGTAAAGGAGAGCTATTTGGAGTAAAACAATTGGTACTGTGAGAATTTAATGAAAAGCTTTTACTTAAATCTCGTTCATCCGAGAAGAATTAGAAGAAGAATTATACTAGTTTTGTACTACATGACATAAAATATAGAATCTTTTCTAACAAATTGCAATAAGAAATCATGAGTGTCTAGAGACCCCATATTTTTTGTGTCATGTAGTTCAAGAATGATGCAAATCTTGTAGTATTACTCATCAAAAAAGCACAAAATAGAGACTTGGTCGGAGTTGATATTCATATGTTGTTTAATGGGCAACACTATTAAATTGACAATGAACATGTGAGGCGAAACTGTACAGTTTACTTGAACAAATAATGATTTATCACAACCCATACCGTTTTAAATTAACAAAATATTTCTTGTAGGTTTCTCAATTATTTTTCCAGAGTTATTTGAGCCTAGTGCTTTCCACAACTTCTCTTCAGCCTTTATCATTGATCCAAATTACAAGCATCATAATGTTTTGCATTATTTTTGGTTGTTTCTCAGTCTATAGCGTAATATTATTACTCTTTGACTAGGTTACCTAGACACTTCATCTTTGCTCCCGTATTCATGTTTCTGTCCGTGTCGAACACTCCTTGAAAACTTCTTGAGTATATACATATATTTATGCAAACATATGCCTAATTATACATTATATGTTTTAGCTTAAAACACTCATGTTACATTTCTTGGACGTATATCTTATACTTCACATCAAATTTCTATAACTTGTTGGACTTGGATATAGTTCATTTCAGCCCATATCATGTCCATAAGTATGATTTTAAATGATGATTTGGATATCAAGTCCAAAAGTGAGCGGTTTTTCTATTTATAATCTGCGTAATAAGAGGAACATAAAAAAGTTATATGGACTTTAGTTCTCATAATATGTAATAAAATAATAATATTGATCTCATATATATTATTAATTTCAATATATATCTAACATGTGGATACTATCAACCTAATTTTAAAAATCGGAACCCAAAAATAAAAATCCAAACTGGTAGATGTGGTCTACTACATATGAACTAGTTAGAAACAAAATTCTAAATGATTTCATCATCATTAACACATGCAAGATATGTCGTCAGAATCAACGTTTCAGAATTTTCATGAAGTTGGTTAATTTTTGCCTCTTGGTATATAATTCAAAACACGTCAAAATTATTTACAATTTTGTTTCTAACTAGTTCATGTGTAATAGATTGCATCTACTGATTCGGATCTTTATTTTTTGGTTCAGATTTTCAAATTTAGGTTGATAGCATCTGCATGTTTGATACTATTAATAGTAGCCTAGCTCAACTATATATATATATAAATATAAATATATATATATAACATAGTCGTGTCCCGTCGTATTCTACAGTGTACAAATTTGTCATGTCTTATATCTGCACCCGTGTCCGTGTCCGCACCCGCACCCGCACCCGTCCCCGTGCAATGTAGCTCTTTGATATTCTCTTTGGAGAATATGCAGGGTACGTGGCATACAAGTTAAGGAAATAAAACAGAAAAGAAAGAGAATCTCTGGATTTCCAACTCTTTCTATAGAAAATATTATTAACACAATAACACTTTACATTGAAGAAATTATTAATGTCTAGGGGCATATGCAGAATCAGATTGTAACGTAAGCTATGATTTAATAATTTGAGGAGGCAAGAAAGATTCGAGTCCATGCGCAAAGGAAGAAGAAAACTTTTATAAACCTTTTTCTTTTAGCAGACAAAGGTTTTTAATTGTTAAAGTAAGAGAGAGAGAGAGAATCTTGGGTAAATTTCCCTTGAATTGAATATTGAGTGTGCACATATATTTATACAAGTAGAGGAGTGTGAGGTTTGTTCTCCCAAGCAATGTGGGACTAAAACCCACTACAATACACTATTATCAACAGCCCCCTTCAAACTCATGTTGGATCAAACAAAGTGAGTTTGCGTACAAGAAACTGGAACCGATGAACAGGTAAGGCCTTTGTGAAGAAATCTGCAAGCTCGTCAGCGGATGAAACATGAGGAAGTAGAATTGTCTTGTCCTTGATAACTTGGTGACGGAAAAAATGAGCGTCGATCTCAATATGTTTGGTCCTTTCATGAAATACTGGATTATTAGCAATCTGGATGGCACTCTTATTATCACAGTAGAGAGGAGTAGGAGTCGTAACAGAAATACCGAAATCACTGAGAAGGCGACGAAGATGAATAATCTCTTTAGCTGTTGTGGACATTGCACGATACTCTGCCTCAGTACTGGAAAGAGCAATAACATCTTGTTTCTTACTTCGCCAGGAAATAAGGGAATCACCAAGAAATATACAATAACCTGTGGTAGACTTTCTGGTAGTTGGATCACCAGCCCAATCAGCATCAGAATATGCACAAAGCTCTAACTTAGATGTAGCAGGAAACAAAAGTGAGCGAGTGCTAGTACCCCGGAGGTACCGAAGAATCCGTAATAAGACAGCATAGTGTACAGAACGTGGGGCACTAACAAATTGACTGACAATACCAACAGCATGAGAGATATCTGGTCGAGAGATGCACAAATAGACCAACTGACCAACAAGATGTCGATATCGGGTAGGATCAGATAGAGGCTCACCGTCAGTAGAGCAAAGTTTGACATTCTGCTGGAGTGGAGTATCGACAGTTGTATTATCAGTTAACTCAGCTTGATTTAGAATATCTGAGAGATACTTCTGTTGAGACAGTAATACACCCCGCGGGCCTTGAGAAATTTCTAGACCAAGGAAATACCGAAGAGATCCAAGATCCTTCATGTGGAACTGTTGTTGCAACTGAGATTTTGCGTATTGTATACCTGTCATATCATCACCTGTAATGATCATATCATCTACATAGATGAGTAATAAAACCCTGCCACGCGATGTAGTGCGAACAAACAGAGAAGCATCTTGATGACTTTCTATAAAGCCCGCTTTGAGCACAACATCGCGAAAACACTCAAACCAAGCGCGGGGTGCCTGTTTGAGACCATAAACAGCACGACGAAGGAGACATACATGTCCCGGAGGAATATTTGACCCTGGAGGCGGTTGCATATATACGGTCTCTGATAAAGAGCCATGAAGAAAAGCATTTTTGACATCCATCTGGTATAAGGGCCAACGATGAGCAGCAGCGACCGCAAGGAGAGTACGCACAGTGGGCATCTGAGCAACAGGAGCAAAGGTCTCCTCATAATCAATACCTTGTTGCTGAGTAAAACCTCTAGCCACTAAACGAGCTTTTCGACGTTCAATGGTGCCATCAGGACGAAACTTGACCTTATAAACCCATTTACTGCCAACAAGAGAGATCCCAGGAGGACAGGGAACAATATCCCAGGTATGAGTTTGCTGAAATGCTTGAAATTCCTCAGCCATAGCTTGTCGCCACTCTGGAATTTGAACTGCCTCTTGGAAGGACTTTGGCTCAACAATAGTATGAATGGCAGCAAGAAAGTTATGAAAGATAGGTGAATAAGAAGTAACAGAAGCATACCGGGCAGGCATGACATGTGGGCGTTTGCCTCGACGAAGAGCAAGAGGAACCTCAGGCGGGGGAGATGCTGGCGCAGGTGCATGAAGATCAACAGTATTTTCTGGAGTGAGAGTTGTGTCCACAGGATATGGATTAGATGGTGTAAGAGAAGACTCAGGTGAGGAAGAGTCAACAGAAGGAGAGGGAGAGATGTCAGGGAGATCTCGAAAGGAAAATTGAGGTGAAGAAGTGGGTGATGCAGTGGACGGGGAAGCATGATCGGTAGAGTGGAGGAAATTAAAGTCATCAGAAGTAGAATAATATGGAGAATCCTCTTCGAACTGAACATGACGAGATATATGAACTCGACGAGTTGCGGGATCATAACAACGATAACCTCGATGTTCTGAACTAATTCCTAAATAAACACAAGAAACTGCTCTGGGAGACAATTTATCACGTTCGTGAGATGGCAGAAAAACAAAACATCGACAACCAAAAACGCGAACTAGATCATAACGGGGAGGATGAGTATAAACACGACTATAAGGAGTAGCACCGGAAAGAGAGCTAGATGGAGTGATATTAATGGCATGAGTCGCGGTGAGAATAGCCTCAGCCCAGAAACGACGAGGAACAGAGTAAGAAATGAGCATTGATCGGGCAGTATCGAGGATATGACGATGTTTGCGTTCAGCAACACCATTTTGCTCATGAGTGTAGGGACATGACTGTTGAAAGATAGTCCCATGAGAGGACATGATAGAGCGCATGGCAGAGGATAGGTACTCTTTGGCACAATCAGAACGAAAAACTTTAATACGAGATTGCCATTGAGTGAAAATCATAGCAGTGAAGGCTTGATAAGCAGTAAGTACGTCAGAGCGATTCTTAAGTAGGTAAACCCATGTAAAACGAGAGAAATCGTCGATAAAACTAACATAATATAAGTAGCCAGATGAAGAAGGCAAAGGAGCTGGCCCCCAAATATCAGAATGTACTAAATCAAATAAGGAAGTGGATACAGATGTACTCATTTTAAATGGTAAAGCAGTGAATTTAGCCAATTTGCAACCAGCACATGACTCAATACTAGAACTAGATGATACAGGACCAAGTACTCCAGACTGAATAAGACTCTCCAGCCTTTTATTACACACATGACCAAGTCGTCTATGCCATAAATTGGCAGGAAGCGAGGTAGAGGGTTTTGACGAACAAAGAGAAGCAACAAGAGAACGTGGACGTATGGACTCTGGAAGGTGAAGATATTCCAGAAAATACAGTTTGTGCCTCCTACGACCCGCCCCAACCGTCTTGCCCGTCTGTGGATCCTGCACAATACAAGTATCAGAAGAAAATGAGACAAACAGGCCCGCCATGCATAAAGAGCTAATAGAAATTAAATTCAAGCACAATTGTGGAGCCACATAGACGGGACCAAGTGTTAGACGACCAGATGGATCATTTTGTGGGGTAATAGAGCCATACTGAGTAATGGACAATGGTTGTCCAGCAGCTGTGTAGATAGGAGGAAGAGAGGATGAAGTAAAGACAGAGGATAAAAGTGAGGCATTACAAGTCATATGAAAGGAACAACCAGAGTCAAAAATCCAGAGATCATTCATACCAGAGACTGAAGGATTAGCTGAAGAACCAGCAAAATGCATACCAGAGAGTTGTGCGGCGGATGTAGAGGTGATATGTTGAAAAGCATCAAGTTGACGGCGAAGACTTTCAATAGCTTGAATAGTAGAGTCTGAAGTAGTAGAAGGTATAGCATTGGCCAACAATCCTGGTGTACGAGAGGGTTGAGACTGAGGGGGTCGCCGACCACGTCCAGTACCTGAGGAACGTAACTCAGGATGAAGCTTGAAGCATGTCTCAATGCGGTGTCCTTCCTTCTTACAATATTTGCAAGAGAGCTTAGATCGAGCCTGTGGAGAGGGAGCCTGTGGAGAAGTATAATTCATAACAGGAGCAGTGACAGGTACAGACAAAACAGTCTCGAGTGAAGAGGTAGGAGTGTCTGTTGACAAATTGAGTCGTGCTGTCTGCTGCCGGGTCTCATAAGCAGTGAGAGCTCCCATAACTGAGGCCAAAGTCGGAAATTGAGGCTGGTGAAGTAGTTGATCAGCCATAGTTGAATATTCAGGAAGGGACTGAAACAATTGATGCACCTCATGCCGTTCGTACCAGGCTAGCCAGTCTTCATATGTGGAATTACGTCCAGGAAGCATGGAGCGTAACTCTGTCCAAAAAGCTTGCATTTGTCCAAAATGGGACTGCAGAGATGAACTACCTTTGCGTTGTAGAGAAATGCGTTGCAGAAGATATGCCTCCCGTGCACCCGAGCACTCAGTGAAACGCTCAGTGAGACGAGTCCACATGGCCTGAGCAGAGGGAAGCGAGCCAATCTCGACAGTGAGACCAGAGCCAACACAGCGAGTGAGATAATCCATAACACGAAATTCCTGCAATTGCCACTCTGAACTCTCCTTGACATAGAGAGCACGAGCAGTCTGAAGATCGACATCACCACTGCCAGAGGCAATAGTACTGGATGAAGCAACAGTGCTGATGGACGGTGGAACTGGTCCCGTACTGGTGAGATGATCAAGCAAACCAGCGCCACGCAAGGCATTGGTGACAATGGTGGACCACCCTGCCCAGTCACTTTGATCATTGAGGGGCAAAGGTGGTTTGGGAATCTTCTCTGAAGGAGCCATAACAGCAATCTTGAGACGTTAAGATGTCGAGATGCTGTTACTAATGTCGTTCGTTTGAGGCCGAGAGACGGCTTGAAACGACGATGCCGTTAATTTGAGACCGAGAGACGGTCTTGAAACGACAATGCCGTTAAAATAGAACCCGAAGGTTAGAATGAAACCCGAAGGTTTAAAATAGAACCCGAAGGTTAGAATGAAACCCGAAGGTTTAAAATAGAACCCGAAGGTTAGAATGAAACCCGAAGGTTTAAAATAGAACCCGAAGGTTAAACGAGAACGCGAAACGCGTTAAGAGGCCGCAAAACGACAAGGCCAAAATATCTGGCAGATGAACGCCAAATAATTAAAAATAAAAATAAAAAAAATAAAACATTAAACGGCTGCAAAGCAATAAGGCCAAGATTTGGCAAAAGAACGCAAAAGCGTTAAAAATTTTATTGAAAGGGAAATAGCCCTAGCTCTGATACCATGTTAAAGTAAGAGAGAGAGAGAGAATCTTGGGTAAATTTCCCTTGAATTGAATATTGAGTGTGCACATATATTTATACAAGTAGAGGAGTGTGAGGTTTGTTCTCCCAAGCAATGTGGGACTAAAACCCACTACAATACACTATTATCAACATTAATAATTAGATCATGTGTTGCTTGCTTCACAGAAAACTATACCTACTACTCTACTTGCAAATTGTAAAAGTGCAAAGTTGTTCTAATCGTAATTGTTGTTTAGCGGCAATATTGTAACCTTTTTCTGGATGTAAGTTTCAAACCAAATTGATCATATGACATTTTCGGAAGGGAAAAAAAAGATTTATTTTCGTATGTGAAATTTTCAGCTTCCTCCTCTCTTCAACATGCCAAAATCACAACTCCAATGCTACGGCGAAGCTGTGTACTGCATTGGCGAGGACTACCTAAAAAAGTGTGCACGAGGAAAAAATAAGTTTGACAGGTTATTTCTGTTGCTTTCTCCTAGAAGGCATGGATTTGTGATTTATTGATAATAAACACAACTTGTGTTGACAATAATATGAAAAAACAATAAAACTCTGTTGTTTTTTGTAGGTTCACTTCTGTTGTTGCTTGGTGTATTTCAAGTGCACGCCCTCTCATTTTTGGCTTGACTCCTTTCAATCCTATTCTTGGAGAGACCCATCATGTCTCTAGAGGAACTCTTAATGTTTTTGTTGAACAGGTAATTTCATGATAAAGATAATTGAAAGCTATTGGTTTCTCCAACATTTGAAGTTTATATTCACATGAGTACCTTTGATAGATATCTCATCACCCTCCGGTATCTGCTCTCCATGCAACTGATACAGAAGAAAACATAGAGTTTATAGCGTGTCAGAATCCGCGTCCGAAGTTCTATGGTAAAATTTCATTGCAATTTTTTCTTTTAGATATCTATGGCAAAATATCATACCTGTGGAGTTTCTATTGTTTGATACGATCAAGTAGCAAGTGCATATTCTGAGTGTTATATTTTACAAATACAAAATTTTCTCGGTAACCCTGAGCTAAAGTCTTCTAAGAGATTTTACTTTTCTTATCAAGCATATGTAGCGAGCGTTTCCATCTAAGTTTTAATAAGTTGAACTTGGGAAGCAAGGTAGGAAATTTCAATGAGTATGAAACCCCTCACAACTCGATAGTTGTAGCAATTTATCATCATAGCATCAGAATTTGATCTGCTAAAGCTTATAACAAATAGACTTTATAAAAAAATAGACTGATCATAAAATGACGCTTCTAAAAAATCAACCATGCATGAGATTTACCTTTCTCATCACAAACATCATAATTTCCACTGTCATATATTTGTATTGAGTTAATTGCGGATAGACCCCATGAACGAAATTTTGACTCTTTCACTCTCTGAGAAGAGAACATTGCTTTTAACAAATAGACCTTTTGAGGGTAACTGAGTTTAAAAAGAAAACAGTCAGAGGATCTTTCTGCAGTTGGGCAACAGTAGAGGGCTATAGTGCAGGGGGTCTATCTGCAATTAACCCTTTCATGTTATAAACTCCACTTCGCATGACTCTTGCCATATCATGTCTTATTTCCATACTTATATCTGGAGCTACCTATTGCACATACTTGCATACATCTGATTCCTTTTACGCTGTAGGGACCGGTGTTGAAGCTGTAATCCATGGGAAGAGGCAGCTGAAGCTACTAAACTTCAATGAGAGCTACGAAATGGAATCGCCAAACCTACTCATAAAAATACTTCCATTTCCTAGTTCTGATTGGACTGGAAATGTCAGCATACGATGCAAGGATTCAGGCCTGGAAGCAAACGTATCCTTTGGTGAAAGCCGCTCATTCTTTGGACTCAGAGGAAATCCTCGGTCTGTCAAGGGTAAGATTGTCAATTCAAAGACTTCGAAGACAATATATGAGATTGATGGCCAGTGGGATAGGTATAATGATCTCTTTTGTATGTTTGTGATTTGATCTGTTTTGAAATTTAAACTCTTCTACGATTTGTTTTGATTTGGTTTGGCAGAGTTGTTGAGTTGAAGGATACTAAAAGTGGAAAAGGTCGAGTTCTATATGATGCTAAATTAGGCATCACAAAACTCAAAACTCCTAGCGTCAAGGATCCCAAGGTACCGCCCCTTGAAGAACACAATCATGTGACTACAAATTAAATTTTACCCTCAGTTTTAACTATTGAGAAAAGAGAGTAAATTGTCATCTAAGTTTAGGGTAACAAATAAGACAGACAAAAGTTGAGAGCGTGTCAATACTAATAAAAATAGTTTAAGAGGTGCCAATGACGCATGATGTTGATGATACCAGGGTTTGTGGGCAACTGAATCAGCAGTTGTATGGGCTGAAGTGAGCCAAGCAATCCTGAAGAACGACTGGGGAAAAGCTAAGGAGGCGAAGAAAAATATTGAGGAAAGAGAGAGGAGGCTGAGGAGAGAGAGGAATTCAAGAGGAGAAGCTTGGGTTTCAAAGCACTTTAGAGTGGCCACTACCAAGGAAGGAGACTGGGATTGTTGGCCTATAGAGCGCTTGGTGCCGCCAGCTCCTATCGCAGTTTCCCCTTGAATATCGGACTGATATGGTACTTGGAAGTTCAGTCGCATCATCCGTACAAGTTACATATGTATGTTTCAGCTATTTTGTATAATGTTGTGTACATTTATAGTATTTTGAAATTAGTTGTTATGGCATCTCTCGGCTCAACTAAGATCGATCTGATCTAGAGCCTGAGGGAAATGTTTACTTCTGTTGCGCTAGGAGAGAACTCTTTTTCCTTCACCCCCACCCCAATTGAGAACCTGCAATGTGTGCAAGTACTGCTATTCTTAATATTATACACAGGCGCACGCGCACACACATACATACAATAACCAGTTGTGAAGTCTCTTATAGTGAACAGGTCCAGCTTACACTAGACTATTCTTACTGAGAATCAACAAAAGAAAGTAAAAGAATATAGAGCTCCTCTAAATAGTTCAGCCAAGGAACACTCTAAAGAACTAAGCAACCACAGCATTTCTTAATTATAGATCAGCTGGAGACGTGTGAGAATAGACGCTAACAAACATTGACCAGCCAGAGCACAATCTAAGACAACGATATTTGAGATGTATGTAGGTCCGAACCTATCATTCTTAACTACTAATTCTTATAAAATCCATGATACATGCACATCGCACAAAACCAAAGTAACATTCCTCAAAAGCTAGCATCTACTACTTAAATACCTTTAACATTTATACCGTAGAGTTGAATATGATACAAAGGACTGCGTGAAGTGTGCCTCTCTTATTCTATCATACAGTACAAAGAATATAACACCACACTACAAAACCTCCCTTTTCCCAGCTACTGGTAGCCCATGGCCACTACTGGGATCCTAACCTTGTGCCCTCGGTTCCCTTTCATCAGAATCTCTCCAAAACTGTAACTACCAGTGAATGACCTAACAGTGAGGCTCACTGTTAATTGCCTTGAGGATCCAGCGAGCACTGTCATTGCTGGAGGGCTAGCCTCTAGGGCAACCTCAGGTGACATTCTTGTGGTGATGATGTATGTCTCGGTCTCAGCCACGTTGGTCACTGTTCTCTTTAGTGTTTGGGTTCCCTCGAGATGAGAGATTGTGATTGATGGGCTGTTGAGTTCCGAGGGTTTACCTTTGGTTGCATTACATGCTGAACCTGTGATGTTTCTCACTTCATCAGGGTCTACCTCTGGTACTACGCACAGGAAACTGATGTAGTCCCTGTAAGCTGTGCAGAAAAACAGATTCTTGAAGAAGTTTTGAAGATTATTCAATCATGTAATGTCATGGAGAATAGTGAAGTTTTGGCATAACAAACAAGTGCCAACAAAATTATTTGAAATAAGAAAAGCATACTCAGTAAAATGCATCCATCTTCTATTGTGTCACTTGGTTTGCTCTGATGTTTTGAATCATTCATTTGCTTTAACCAGTCACTAGATCTGACAAGTACTCTACTCTCAGTTCCTTGTAAACAAAACTTACTCTCTAAAAGGAAATCTAACTGGATCGCATACTAACAAGTTATATCGCATACTAGAAAAATGTCAATCAACAATGATACCATATATGATAATATTTATTTATGCTGATATAACTAATTTTCCCCTGCTTATACTTGTATATACTCAGAAAAAACTACTAGTATCTGCATATATAATATGACAAAAAAAGACATTTACTCATTAGAAGTTTTAATGGCACAAAATGTGCAAATTTAAATACTCCTTTGTCCCCAGAACTTGGTGTACGCATAATGGATGTAAGTTCTGATAATGGGTACGAAGAAGCCCATCATGGAATTTCTTGCATAACTATATTCATCTAGGCCGTGTGTTATAAAATATGGAAAAATAAAGGAAACACACATATCTATCATTGGACAATCATAATGAGTTTTGCGAAATCGTACGACAATAAGATAGTTTTGTATCAAAACTTTAAACAATATGCATCTTCAAATACGCAAATAGCTTACATGCATCGAAAATGAGTCCAGGATCCAGCGCAGCTTTTGGATTAACAGCTCCACTCCCAAAATCAAACGGTGTGGCTGGCAGCAATTTCACAGCTTCTGTCTCAGTGTACTGCTGTGCTTGAAGAGGCTTCCCTCCTCGATCCTTGGTCATAGCTGTTGTCATCAAAGCTGACTTGATAGCAGCTGGACTCCAGTGGGGATGCTTCTGCTTTATAAGTGCTGCTATTCCAGCGATATGCGGAGCTGCCATACTAGTCCCAGATTCCATGGCAAAACCTTCACCTGTTCAGCTTCAGCATGAGATAAATGGAGCAGAACTATTTCAAATGCATGCAAGGTCATTATGTAGCGCAAGTCCTTGAAATTTATTCTCCAGCCAATACATTGGTTCTCAGAATTATCTTTACCTATATATTCTATTCATGAACAATTCAAAATAGTCATCTGCAAACTCCGGGAATTTGTAAAGCTTACCAAACATGCATAAACAACTATTTACAAGCTATAGATTGAAAAACAGATGCTATTGTCATTGATCAAGCCACCTTTTTGCTATCACCTTTCTTATGTGTGTTACTTCGTTTTATGAAGTGGAGCACAGATAAAGACAACTTTCAAATATTTATTCTTCTTGCATTCCTTCAGGAAATTGTTCTGCAGTATGTTCATTACATTGATCTCTGGCACATCCCTGTCTATGATATGACAACTAAAACAATTTGCACATGCTCCTTTTTCTCTCTTCTGCATACTCACTACTATCAACTGTTGGAAATAGCCTTGTATTTCAGTACAGGAGACATGGAAAGAATCAGAAACGAAGCAGAAAATAAAACAGCATGGAGCTGGTGGTGCACTAACCAGTCCGACCGGTTGGGTGCTCTGGTGGAACACCAGCCGGTCGGACAGGTCCTCAGACTGCTGTCAGACTGATTTCTGTTTTTTGGAATCCTTTTGGGGTTAGAATTCCTGATCAGCATTTTACGTGGATTTAACTACAGGTCTTCCGTGTGTACAGTTTTGAGATTAAGCCTAAGAGATTTGCACATGGTAAAAGAGACGTAGAGAAAAACAAAGGAGAGAAATCTAGGGTTTGTAAGGATCTTTTGGAATGGTAAGACTAAGAAAGGATTTCTTGCATGTTCTTTTAAGAACACTAGAAAGATTGTATTTTTGTAATCTCTGATATAGAGAAGACTCAAAGCTCTGTAGATTTCGCGAAGGGTTTCAAGAAGAACAGGTTTTGGAGCTCAGGGTTCTGTTTTGGAGTTTGTCGGTCGACCACAGTGCTAGGCCGATCAACCGAATACGTGCATAGACCCTGGGTATGAATCAGGGCTTGGCGCTGTCGACCGCCAAACCCTGTAATGAGTTTCTGGTTCTGTCGTTTGATCGCTGTCGACCGCGAGTTTTGTGGCGGTCGATCACCAGTCGGGTCAGGCCCAGATTGAGGTTTCCTGTTCTGTTTGGGATTTGAGTTTAGTATAAATACCAAACACGTTTTAGGGTTTCTTTGGCGTAGTCAAGGAATTGTATTGGGGATATTTGGAGCACAAAAAAGAAATATTTTCTAAGCTATTGGTTAGGGTTTTGTTTGGAGAGAATTAGAGATTTGTTGGTGAGATTAGTTGGTTTGTTCAAGTGATTTGTAATCACAGTTTGTATTCTTCTTCTCTATTAGTGAAAACCTCATCTCCTTCTTACCCCGTGGACGTAGGCAACTTGCCGTACCACGTAAAATTTGTCGTTTGTGTTTGTATCGTTATTTTGCATTTTTTGGCTTTCTCTCTCGGCGTTTGGTTTGGTTCCTCGAAGCACAACGATTGGTGGTTTCCGCGCACAACAAGCCCCCCCTGGATGTAGGTGATTGCCAAACAACATAAATTCTCGTGTCTTTGTGTTCTTGTTGTTTTAGTTTTCTGTGGTAGATTGCTTCTCTTTTATTCGAATATCATTCTTTCTATGTTTCCCTATTGCCAAGGCGATTGTTTGCCCTAGGAAGACAGAGGAGATCTAGTTGGGCGATCTGGGAGATACTTACGCATCATGTGTTGATTCTCAATAACAACATAGTGTGTCTGGATTGTGTGAGTGTGTGCCCATAGAAATCGGGAAATTAGGACGCTATAGCGGACACGACCAGGGTTCAATCATCCCAGATTGCCATGGAACACGACCCGATTCACCAACTCCAGCAACCCAAAATTTAGAATGCAAACCAGTTAAAATTTTGACAAAAAAATTTTTTTTTTGAAGAACAAACAACAAAAAACACAAGAAATTAAGCAAATAATGTATACCTTATTGGAACATGATTCTCAAGTTTTTTTTTACCATTAGTGATATCAACTAGTATATTTCTTAAATTTGACTCTTGCAAAACCTCTAATTCCTACATTTAAGAACCGAACCTAAAGCGTACCGTATAAGCCTACCCCTCGTACCCGATTCCTAATGAGTGGCGGACCACACTCCTCTACCTATCTTGTGAACCAAAACGAACCGGATTCCATGCAACTATGTGTGTACCCACTCAAAAACATACTCTCTTATACACACATCCAAGCACATGCATACACGGGAGGAAGCAACTATGCACTTTTTAACTCTTTAAAAGTTGTTTTCGTCCCATCCCCACATGCACACACAAGAAAGAAACATCCTTCACACACACGCATATGTGTCTAGGATTTCAAAATATTTGTTTTCTCATTAGAAAGAACCAGTTCTTCTCACTTTCTCTTGGACAACCTACACTTGAGACGAATTAACCTTTTCTTCTGAAATAAAATGGCAGAATATGTATAAAACATACTTCTAATGGGTATAAAATTACGGAAGGTTGCTCATGCAACCAACGATGTAGCTATAGCTACAGTCACTTGGAGGGGCCATGGCCTCACCAAAAAAGTTCAAATTCTATTGGTCAAGATAGTCCCACTCACAAACATGTGGACCCTACAAAACAAATGTTCCTTGAGTTTTTTGACATTTTCTTTCTCGTATGCTCAGTAGGTCCTGGGCCCCTAAATTTTGGATCCCCAAAAACCAACTCTAATGACGTTTTATCATTATCAATGCCTGCCTCTATATTGTTCATATTTATATTTTTTATATATGTGATAATCAAAGAATCCAGCTATTAGCATCCAATAAATACACGATGTTCATCTTTATTTCTTACAGAACTCCCAAATTAGATGCAATTCTCTCTTAAGCAAATGATGGCAAGATATTTTTTCAGGCAGAAAATTCTGCATAATGTTTTGATTTCTTTCGCAGGGAGAGAAGAAATTTAAAGTCCTGTCTCCACCCCTGTTCATAAATAAGTTTAGTAACAAGGGTCCATCTTTCTTGCACTGAGACTACAGGAGATCCAGGGATCCAAGTGATATATTTTACATCATTTCTTAAAACTACTAGATACATAAACCGTTTCATTGATTAAACAATAGCCTGAAAGCAATAAACATGACCACTAGTGCAACGAGAAAAAACCAAGGATGATAAATAATAGTGAATGGACTGTAAACAAGGTCACAACTAACAAGTTCTTTCATCAAATACTCAAGTTTAAAAGGCATTAATTTACTAGCAAGTTATATAACATTTAATGGATGAGAGCATATCCCACCTAGATGTTTAGTTCTGTATGATGTCGCCAGACAAAATTTGAACAACTATGATAAAGAATGATTGAGTGTAGAAGTAAAGAAATAAAAATAAAATACCCAAGTAATTGGCTTCATCTGTTCCATTTGGTGCCCACGCAGCCCAAATAAGAGAGCCCGGAGCTAATATGTCCGGTTTGAGGACATCTGCATCTTGGAAGCTGAAATCTTTTACATCTGGCCCTCGGGAAGAAAATATTGCCACCTGAGGAGCTGAACTGTGAAGTATGGGTGCCAAACCATCAGCAACACTGGCTGTTGCTTGGAAACTTATTGGCCGCCCGGCCCAATCTCTTTTAGTGGAAGAGTTATAATAGTCTATAAGCACCTATACTTGCACAGTAGAGAAAAGTTAACAAGTCAAAAGTCAAATTCTGATAGAAAAAAACACTCAGTATGTGTTCTTCAACAAGAACAAACCTTGCTCATATATTACTACTGAACACGGAAACTTATTTGTTACTTGTCAAACAGTTACATAAAGTTTTGTTCGTTTGTCATCAATACTCTTATGAAGAAGGGAACTGGAAGGACTAGACACTTTACATGCTATCTTGAAAAGCTTTTACCTAAAAAATACAAGATAATTGGTTACATTGTGTTTACCTATACTACACGTCAGATAAGTTTCCTAAAGAGTCACCTAAAGAACACCCATCCATCTCATACGTATACAGATAGGTACATACATGCATATGAAAGGATACAGGTAAATAAGCTTATTTTACACTATGTAAATCAAGAAAGTGGATTTGAGACCTTTGCCTCTGTTGGTTTCACTTAATTTATCACTCACTCCACTCACATTAGGTAGTTGAAATATTGGTGCATTTCATGATAGGAAAGGTGAAATGTTACCTGGGCACTTCTAATCTGAAGCCAGACCCCTACCCAACATGTACCGTACGCAAACACCTTGGACACTCCTTGCATGTATGCAATACACTTATTCGGGCACGTACTCAATTATACATTACATGTTTTAATTTAAAACGCTTCTCATACATTTCTTGGACATATGTCCTACACTTCACATCCACTTTTTGAAACTCGTTGGACATAACTCAGGTTCCAAATTACGATCTTGAAGGATCGTTTGGATTCTAGTTCAAAAACTGGTGATATTCCAATTTATAATCCATATAATAAAAGATCATAAAAATGTTTTAGGAATTTTAATTCTCATCCTTGTTCTCACATAAATTATTAATTCCAATATAAAATATGTGTATATAGATATTTATATAGTCATGTCCCCGTACCCTACATTTTACAAACTTGTCGTGTCCCATATCTGTACCCATACCCATTCAACATAGGTGATGTCTCTGGCTTCTACAAGTTGACATGTATTCCCTTAATTTATATATGATTAAATAGTTCCTAGAAATAGAATAATGTTTCAATAAGATATCTAAGAGTTGCTTAAAATTCTCATCGTGGAACATCCAAATAGATGGTTGGCAAACACATGTAAAAGAGAGCTGACATGATTTGATTACCACTACTCACTAGAATAACAAAGCTTCTAGTTATGGAAGAAGCCTAAAGAGATTGATGCCTCTAAATAACTTCTTACATCCTATAAAGTTTTGTTTACAATCCAAGAAAACAGAGAATAAGGTTGTGCAAGACTTATGTACCCAAGTCTGTTTAATAACTTTGTCTATTCTATTACTTGACAGTTATCATCATCTAGTAACAAAGAAAAGCTTCACCAAATGAATAACCATAAATAACGGAATTTACCTTCGAGTGACTGACATCAGATATCAGTATTCCAGGAGTGGCAACAGGTACAGGGTCAAATTTGGTTCCTGGATAACTGTTCTCAACAGCAACAATGAAGCCAGCTGCTCCAAGACTCTTAGCTGTTTCCGAAACCTTTTTGATGGATGCAGTACCCGAAACAAAATTGAAGGAGTACCCACATAAAAGAATCTTTCCTTCCACCATTCTCCTATTTAATAGTTCTGGTCTCTGGCAGTCTCCAGGGTTGTATTTCAGGGCAGATGAATCAATCATCACATCATTTGCAGATACCAAGTTGTATGACCTGTTCCCATGTGTAGAAGCTGCATTTGAACAACAGGAAGAAATCGTTTAGATTGAAAATTTCAATCTGAGGATCTATCATAATTGGGACTAGGGAAAACATTAACATATAAAAAATGCAGAAGCCTGGTAAGTTACTGCCTTATAAAAATAGATAGCAGCACCTTTACCATCTACGAATTAGTGTAATGAGTTAAATGTTAGCACTAATGTGAAGTTTAATTAGGGTAACTGATAACCAGCTAGTGCCAAACTCAACTGCATTTTTGAAGGACCCACTCAAACTATTCACCTTTCAACAAAGATTAACTACAATATTTAGTCAGCAAAGCATTACAAAAGAAATACAAAATATTAGAAGGGAAAGTTTATAACAGCTATCCATGAAAAGCCTATAAACTCCACAGTAGGATAATTGGACATGGATCATTCAAAAGGCATCATGTCTGCAACCACCATAGTATGCACAGCAACTATGAACAAGTATAACAGTGCTATCTTGGATCATTCAAAAAGAGAATAGGTAGCCATGCCTCAAACACATTCAGAGTTGAACTTTTGTATCATACATATCAGTTGTCACAATTGACGGCCACTTTTAGCATCACTTCAAGCCTTTTCATATGATAGAACCTCATAACGTCAAAGGTATATGAAACATTCCCTCTAAATTTGGAACATGAGTCTCAACCCAGAGCACCTCTAATTACTCAGCATTCAACTCTTCCATGCACATCACTGCATCAAGATACTTGTCTAAACTTAAGCCTCCGATAAGTAGTACTAGAATAGTTAAGTACATGTGAGTAAACCAGAATGCAGTCTCAACTGTAAACCAGCCGTACTTTCTCAGTTATTTAAGTTTAGCTTTATAACCAAATGACTGTTATAGGTTAGTCTTTATATATATGTTGTTGGTCCAGTTAACAGCTCCAGACATAGGGCAAACATAGTCAGTGCCTTTGAAACACCGTTCATATAGTGACTCCTCACTATGGTTTTTATGAACAATTCAAGAATTGTTTTTATGAACATATAGTGACTGCTCAATATGGTTTTGAAACATAATTCATATAGTGACTCCTCAGTCTAGTGACTCCTCGCTGCAGACTCCTCGCTATGGTTTTTACGAACAATTCAAGAATTGTCAAGAAAATTTTTAACTTTACCACACCGAGCAATGCAAATATCATTCCCATATTTTTGGGCAGAAGCAAAAAATTATCTATAACTATTTATGCTGTACATCTAATTATAGTAATTGTTTTTATCCATGACAAACAAATAGAAATGTTATAATGATTTTTTTCCCATATGGATCTGTCAATCCTGGACTTTTTCCCATATGGATCTGTCAATCCTGAACAAATGAGGAAATTGGTAACTTACGTGACAATCCAAGCCCAGCTAAGATTTTTCCATTTCCCAGTGTCACATGGTTCTTGTATCGACGATCATCGACTGCTGCTGCTACAGTTGTAATCCAGGGGCTAAAGGATACCAACGTTTTCGGAAATGGACCTCCATTGCCAGCTGCCTGTGCAACAAAAACTCCAGCTTTCACAGCAGAGAGAAGTGAAGCATCAAAGGGGTTTAAGAATGTTGTTCTTGTAGTTGATGGTGGGCTATTTGGTCCTACTGAGAGATTAAGAATGTCAACACCATCACGAACAGCCTGTCACAAAATATTAGGCAAATTGGATGTACATAAGTAAACGAATTGCTCTCAGTTTAGTACTGCATAGATTATTTTACAAATTAACAAATAAGAAATAGTTTGAAATAAAATATAATAATACATCAGGTAAGTTACTGAACAATTGATGCTCCTTGCATGTACTAAAATAATGAGTGGTAAGCTCACACTATTACCAGTTACAAGTACTCACAGCACTCTGAAAAGAAATTTATCGTTTATGGACATCATGCTACTTCCCCCAGGATGGAGGCGGCTGAACAAAAATTGTACAAATAATAATAATAATAATAAAATAAACTTCAACTTAAATATTGAGATACTGACCTTGATTACTATTGAGAAACTAACGGATTGCAACTAGCGGATACAGTACCAACCATCAAACCAAGTACAACAGACAAAAGAAAGTTGTCACTCCCTACCCAATTATTTACAATTATTACAAAGAAACAATATTTATCCAAAGCATATGGAAATCAAGTAGTTCAGTGTTGAAATTTGAAAAAAGAGTACAATATGCACCCACAAAGATTAACAATTTTTTTTAAAGAATAATAGATATAGCTCTCAAACCCAATAGTAACTCAGAGGAAAAGGAAGTATATGTAAAATATAAATAGACAATTATCTGATTAAAAAAATGACAAGACAATATATAATATTCAGATAGAACAACTTAAATCAATAAAAAAATTTAATGGTCTATATTAACTTTAACCAACTCATAGCAAGAGCTCTAAGCATACCTGATCAATGGCAGCCACAACATCAGATACATAACCCCCAAAAAGTCTGTAGAGAACCTTGTAGACAGCAATTCTGAAGAACACAAGATCAGGCAAACCCAATTACGTTTAAAAGTGAAAAACTTAATACTACATTTCTGTCTGAAATGCCTAACCTTGCACGAGGAGCCATGCCACTTGCTTTGCCAAACTCATGCCCATGCATTCGTACTGGAATGCCATTATTTCCAGCAGCAATCGCTGCTGTATGGCTGAGAACATTGGGGAAACATTCAATACACAAAAAGAGCAATCTATGGTTTAGTAAACATATAAATCAGACAGCTCAATGAAAAGTGTTTAACTATATATAACAAGTTGTGGAGTTAAAAATATGTGAATTTTCTCTCTCTCAAAAATATAGTGAATTTCCTCCATAGTGAAGACAGAATGTAAAGCTGCATTTGGACTCAAGTGGCAAGCTTGCTTAGTCATAGAACAGATTGACATTTTACAAGAGGCATGACCAACATAATTAAACTTCAACAGGAACAAAGACATGCAAAACCAACAATGATAAAGACATAAATGCCACGTACAGCAACCAGAACAGGAGGTAACTCCATGTAACTTTGCATTATGAGAATTCTTACAATTTTCAGAAGTTATATAATAATAGACTATCACAGCTTCACGTAGAATAATAAATTTCATCAATAAATTGTCAATAGTAAAACATGTATCAGTTTTGTAAACATTATTATGCATAGGATGAGGATTGACATGGGCTTTTCCGCTATATGCAATATTCACAATATTTAAGAGATATTGGAACTCAAGCTAAGATTTCTCACAGGCACTCACCTTCCATGACCATCTCCATCTAATGGGGATGCGAATTCAATTCCAGGATTGAAAGCTCCAGCAGCAATGGCTGCTTTTGCAAAATGTTGAGCACCAACTATCTTCCCATTACAGAAGTTCCTCTTTGTGTCAGGATCAATCTCACACTTTCCTCTGTACCGGGGAAGCGGCCCATATGGATCTGAATTGTGAGAAGCAAAGCTTGGGTGCTTTGGATAAATTCCTGAGTCCACAAAACCAATCACAACATCCTCTCCTGCCCTATCAAAGCCACCTCCTGTTGGCCATACTCCTGTTGGGAGACCAAGAAATTGAGGCGTGTGAGTGGTCAACTTCCTTACTTTCATATCTTTTTCCAGGTACTTCACTCCAGGGGCTCTGCTGAGAACTTCTGCCTAAAACCAAATGAAATTTCTTTAGAGAACAAACTTGACTAGAAAATAAAAATTTGTCAAACTGAAGAATGAGGGAACTTTAACCAAATTAGATGAAACATAATGAAAATACCTGTTCAGCGGTCATGTGAACAGAGAACCCATTAAGAAGATGGTGGTAGCTATATAGCTTCGTGTAAGTCCCAGCATCAAAGAGTGAATCAAGAAGTGCATCATGTTGCCTCACAAGGTGATCAGAATATGATGTAAATAACTCACTGGGAGAGATAAAGGAATGTCAATAACGAGTGTGGCTCATAGCCAAAACTCTGGAAAAAACACAATTATAATCAACATGATAGATTTATTTGGATTAAAAGGCTTCATCGCTCTTCCACTTCTGTGTTTTTTTTAATGTGATGCGGCAGACTTCCTGCTTAGAGTGGGACCTTCCTAGCTTCTCAAGTTTCATCAGCATATAATGCAAAAGAATTCCTGCTTAGAGTGCTGCAACCTCATTAGTTTGTTAAGTTTACACCACGCGTGTGCGCACACAAGAACCTTGCCTCAGTTATATAAGTATTGTCCTACAGAAGAAGAGTATCGAAGCTTATGCTGTCATAAGGAATGCTTAGAACTATTTAGAACCATAAAGTAGTTTCAACGACATCCATTTTAAACCACTACCATAAAAACCCGTGCACAAATAAAAATTAGAGTTTGAAGCATAACCATCTTCCATGCAGAATATGACAAAATCAATCTGTAAAAAATATATTTAAAAGGTTCCAGCATGCTTCCCCAGGACTGCACTTCATTTCCAGTAGGAAAAAATCAGTACAACAAATGTCTACTCGTTATATACACGAACACATGCGCTAATGATGCATATGCAAGTTAAGCATTGATAATAGACAATAAGATAGCAAGGCTTCAGCGCTCCACGTCAGCAGTTGACATACCCATTAAAAGATAATGAAAGTGGAGGAATGCCTAGTTTAACTGACCAGACTGGAGGAGATATAGATGATGTATTTGGATGGGTCTACAAACTGGCTAAGAAGTACTATAGATGATGTATTTGGATAGTCTACAAGCAGGCTAAATCTTCAGAACAGCTCCTTATCAGTCGAGTAACTCTTGAAAACCAGTTGACTGATCATCATACTTCTTCTTGATCCAAAGTTAATCCACGCAAGACTGGTCATAAACTTCTAATCCGTTCCATGAGGGATGCAGTGGAACGCCAAAGAAATGTTGTTTATCTAGGATAGAAGCTCAACTCAATTGGAATATAGGTGTACTGTTATCATATCTTATACAGAAAGAGTGGACTCTTTGATATTCAACCTATAACATGTCTACATGATGTAATGATGTAATCACTTACCTAGTTACCTATTGAATATAACACAGGAGAAAGCAGGGTAATATTCACTCTCTCACAGGAAATAGTCTTTGCAATTTTTTTCTCATCAGATCTAATTTTCTTTGTAATCTAATTAGAGCGGATTGGAGGACTAATCCATCCGCTCTCAGATTTAGGTCATTGATACATGTTTGTGTGTATAAGTACTAAATACATGCAATGATGTACTTAATCACAACAAGAAAATGTCATCAAGAAACTAACAAGGAGAAATGATGAACTTCAGAAAGAGATGGAATCGGAGAAGGATAGTACCACATAGCAATGCAAAAAGGATAACAAGATTAATAGAAAAAAGAAATGGGAACAGGAAAAAAAAAATAATAGCAAGTATATAAGAAAAAAAAAGAGTGAAGTGAGGGGATAGATCCAGAACCTGGTAATATCAGTATCTTCTGCTAAATCTACAGATGTTGCAGAAAATCCCTCGATACCACCATTATAACTCACTACAGGTTCTCCTTCCATGGTGACAATATAAACATCTCCACTTCCAAAAACTAGGAGCGGAAAAACAGCAAGCATCATGTATCGTAATGTCATTTTCTTCATTTGCATCATCATAACGATAAATGAAGGAAAATTCTGAAGTCGACCTCTGTGTCTACAAACGATAATAAGATGGAGTCAGTAGTAAAAAATATTAAAAACAATAATGCATTGATCGAAGTCAATTGAAAAGAGCACTTAAATGTTACTTTCACATGGTTGCAACAGGTTTTAATAAAAGATAGAATATATACAAGGCATCAAGAAGGATACTTCTCACAGGAAGGAATGCATTGAATTAAGAAGCAGGAAAAGAGGGAAATAAGAGTTATCAAGTCATACATCCTTTTTGGTATGTTCTCACAATCAACTTCAAATGATCAACATCAATAAATAAAAATTTAAGTTAGGTGGTTTTGATGGTGTAGTATGTAGGCTTCCACCATGAGCATGAGTGAAACACCAGAATAGCATGATGTAAGGCCCATACTGGCAACTTCAAACAGTCAAACTAGACTGTCACATCGTGAGAAGAGGATACGGAAGTAAGATAGGCTAAATATGAAGGATATTTCTGCCGCCAAGAGCTTGAATATAGAGCAATGCTTGTCCATATTTTTACCTGCAACTCTGATGGTACAGTGAAAATTCCTAGGCTGCAAATTACATTGGTACGGGTCTATCACATAAAACTGCAAATGGAGAAGAAAATGGTTGAGCTAAACAACAGAATATAGAAGAATGTTATTCTTTTAAGCTGCATCTATGTACCAGTCATCAAAGCATGAAACACCATGAGCATGTCCAAGATCAAGTTGATAAACCATCCGAAACAGAAAAATGAATCTTTTGAGCCTCAATTTCAATGTACAACCATAAGGGGATCTGAATACTGACAACATATATAGAGATAAAGTTTTTAACCAAAACTTGTATGCATAAATATTAACAATAAATCAAAGACTCCAACATGGCAAGGTTGCCACTCATGAAAATTACCATCCAGCAACACTTATTAAATCCAAAAAGGACAGGAAATACTTCCCACAGCAAATAGAGAATCATGTATATGGATTTCTAGCACTGTCTTGTGCAGGATTATACAATTAGGAACAAATAAAAGTGTGCAAAGCACCATAAAAAGACAGTTTAACTAATCAAAACCAAACTTGCAATAGAATAGAAACAAAAAGCGGAGCTGATTCACACGAACTTCATTAACTACTTAGGCTCGCAACCTATAGTTCCACGATTAAATAAGCAGGGAGTTGTTTTTTTTTTTTTTTTTTTGGTGGGGGGGGGGGGGGGGGGGAAAATCTTACTGTTTCTTTATCTAGCAAAGCGAAAGAAAGCCCAATTTGTTATTTTTGTCATATCAAACTGACAACAACAATGTGCATGGGTCGGTTTTGTCTTAATTTAACAATTTTACTGTGTGGAAGCATTCAACACCAAATGCAGAGAAAGAGAAAAAGTGTGTCATCAAATAGAAATTTCCAAGAATATAGCTGAAGTAGATAAGTTAGAAGAGCTCCAAAAATAATTACTGAGAGAAAGCTTCAATAATGCAGAATAATTTTAAAGGAAAAGGAGAAGACGAAATAAGACATGACCATTAAAAATTAAAAATGCAGCTACTTTCAAGAACCACTCGTCCAAAAGCTTGTCATAGTATTAGAGAATGCATGTTTCAAAAAAAAACATGGTTCAAAAAATCACCATTACCAAAATTAAACTATATTCGTCAGTTCTCCTCTTCAAGCTAGATATTACTCTCTCTCAAAACAAAGAACATGAACTTGAGGTCTTCCAAGACATTGAAGAATCTAGAGTTTTTACAGCAGTAGAAATTAAAGGAATAAGCAAAACCTCCTTGTTAAATTTCTAATATATTTAAATAGCTTTACCATCCATCAACGGGAAGAAAACAGGAGACAAGTGTCAGAAACAATGTGCATTGTTCCGCTCAATCACTTTGAACTGGTTTTAAATTTGTTTTCCTTAATTTTAAGAAATGAAAGCATCGAAATTAAAACCCACTAGCAACAAATTAATAAAAAATTCCCAGCGCATAACGCGATTTACTTTCAGATTTCCAAAACATTGGAATAACACATTATTTAAAATTCTCATCATTAACGAAAACCACCTGAGAACTACACTTGGACCCAACATTAAAGACATATTCTTCATTATGAAGCAAAAAAAACACCATACTAACGGAATCCAATGCGAAAAAATTGCACCTTTTCAACTTGTTCTCAGCAAACTCCGGAATCAGAGAAAGCAAGACCTATAGATCTCATTTTCCCGTCAAAACAAGAAAAGATGAATGAATACGTGCGTGCAATCTACTACAATTCCCAAAATCGCTTCAAAAACAGAAGAAATCAAGTAAAAATGGCAAAAAAATTCTCAAAAGCTAGGGTTTACTAACCTTGATCACTGAAACAACCATAAACAAACGATCCAGAATGATCAAGCCACTGCCACACAACTAAAAACTCTCAAAAGCTAGGGTTTCGTAAGCAGCGACCAAGTCCAAGAAAGGAATCGTACGATTACGCCATTAAAGTAACCTGAAGTCACAGTAAATTAAAGAGAGAGAGAGAGAGGTGAGATGAAAAGGCAAGGGTTAGGGCTCCGAGAGAATGCAGATAATCACATTTACGGCATGAGGAGCGAGAAAGAGAGACTCAAGCTCGTGGTTCTAATGGAGGCAAGGAATCTCGCGAGCTGGTATTTACGGTTCTGCCACTGTGAGAGCTAGGAGAGAGAGAGAGAGCGGGTAGCGTCCCCAATGCGGAGGAGAAAGCGAGGTATTAACGCGGATTGGTGCGGTTACCCGCGGTGGAATATAAGTAGTTGAAGTTTGAGAACGATGGGCGGATAGCGCGGGTTTAGGTCAGTTGGTGTGGGCGGGGAGAAGGAAGCGTTATGGTGGTCGGCGGAGTAAATTACCGCTGGCTGAATGGGCGGAGTCAGTGACAGTGGCCCAAGTTCGAGTGTCGGCCCCCTTGTGCCTTTGTCTTCTGTTCATGGACTCATGCTGTGTAAGCTAGTCCTATGACGAGAATCACCCAATTAATTTTCTTCACTTGACGCTTATTCAATATATATAAATTAAAGGGCATTCATTCATATCCTATCTTACAAAACGAGTGGATATTTTCTTTTTAGTGTACTTGTATAAGAGGAATATTTTTTTTTTCAATTGAAATATACCACAAAACCTACCTCAGTTGTCAAACTGTAAATTGTAAAAAGTCACGAATCCGAGTTTTTAAGTAAAAAAAAGTGATCATTGATTATGAGTTAAATGATTTTAATATAAAAGGCCAACTTTAATATGTTAATGTAGTTGATTTCTTATTTATATGCAAATGAATTATAATATCATTGTTTTGAGATTCATATAGTTTGTGTTTATATTACTTGATCTTCTCTAAACTTTTCACACAAAATCGATGACTCATTTACTTGAACATCATGCATACACAATTGAAAAACATAACATCAGTTATTATCTGATTTTAAAAGTAATTTATACATTCTGAACTTACATGTTAAGCATAATTTTATTTGTTGGTGACTGTATTTCCCGTGACATAAGGCTAGAACATGTAAGACTGAGATCATCAAAACATGAAAATATTCTTTGCATATAGAAATTTATATTTCTACTGTGTCTTTATTTACGGCAAGTGCAAAGTTATTATGGTGCATGCAAAGTTAATAAGATATGAGTTTTTCTTAGTACTTTTTAGATATGATGGTTTGTTTTAGTGAACCTTTCATATTTGATCAATTAACACTCACTCGATGGTCCGGTCCCTATCTGAGCGCATGTGAGGAACGGACCCCATCAAATTTTGTCTCCATTCTTTTGCACTAGTCTTTGCATGTGCTTTGTGCTCCTCCTTTTAGATATTCCTGTTTTGCTCACTTGACTTGCGAGCAATGCACCACTCAAAAAGTTAGAACAAGCGTTGGAAAATTGATTTTATAGTTAATGCTTTCTAATTTAATTATTAACAGTCCATTTACTCAAAATATTAAGTTAATTGAATGTCAGCGCGTAACTCTGTATAGGTTTAAAAGTAGACGCTTCTTTATAAGTTCAGTTTTTTTTTTCAGTAATACCTTACGTTAATATATATATATACTATAATATATATATATTATTATATATATATATATATATATATATATATATAAATATATATATATATATATTTATATTTATTATATAATAATTATATTATATATTATATATATATATATATATAGAACGGGAGCGCTGACGGAGCGTAGGAAAATTCCTACGCTGCAATGTCGTATTGACATTGATGAGCCCCTCCCTACTAGTCACTCGGTGTGGAGCTCAGCATAGCTTATACACTTGTAGCGTTAAAATTTCCTACGCTGCCCAGTCACGCTACTGTTTTCTCTCATATATATATATATATATTATTATATATATATTATTTATATATATATATATATATATAATATGTATATATTATTATTACAACACACTAGTAGAAAACGACAATCTAGACCAGGAAAAAATTTCCGCTACGGTTGGGACAAACTAACAAAATTTTCCGTCTAGTTTGACAAACGAGACGGAATTCACCTAGACGAATATCGTTAGGTTGACCTACGTCAACGCTAGACGGATTCCGTTTAGGTTGCCTCAACCTAGACACGCGAATTTTCGTCTAGGTTGCAGTAGTCAATCTAGACGCGAATTTGTCTAGGTTGAGTCAACCTAGACGGAATTCCGTCTAGGTTGCCTAGGGCAATCTAAAACGTTTGACAGCCGCCCAGCCCCCCCCCGCCCGTTGGCCTTTGTATTTGATAGATAATTGCAAAACATTTAAGGCTAATTTTGTTTCTAGTGTTTGTGGTTATTTTCTCTTTCAGGCATCAACAGCTAGCGCTGAAAGATTTCTAATCAATAGTTATAAGATGCAGTTTATATGTGGTATAATCATAAGGTATGAAGAGAGGTTTGTATTAATACAGTGTATGACTTTATCTAAAGCTCAAAATATATATACCAACACAAGTTTGTTCAATGATATTTGGTTTCAAACTTTGTTTAGAATGTGTTTTTGTTTCATCTCTACATACTTATAATATACTATAATGTATGTCATAAAATATAATACATCTTCATAAGTCATATTAAATTCTTATTTTATGAAAAACAGGCTTTTCTATCACTGCTCAAACCGATAGCTTTTCAAAAATAAAATTGCATTCCAAAGTTACTTTTCAAACATGCTTATTCCTCTCGTTTTATAAACTTTCCTAAAGTTATCTTATTGTTGACAACATTGGCATAACTTTTAAATGCCCGTAAAATCCATTTATAACGTGAGTTTTCATAATGATTGTTTTCGTGACGCGCATGTACGTTGCGGTGAACCGCAATTGTCCAGAGAGCAACTCTGGTTTCAGCTAGGGTCGCGGTCCGTGGTTCTGACGGTCGGAGATATTAAGGTTGCACTATAGGTATATCTTGTTTTGTTTTTCTATGGTTTTGGTCTTTGTTACTTGGGTTTTTACTGATTGTATTGGTTGTTATAAATACTCTACTACTTCAAACTAAAATTTAGAAAATTGAATTACTTAAGTTTAACAAGTTTACAGTGTTGTAGAGGATGTATGTAGTGCGTTGTTTCAAGCTTGTTTCAAAAGAGCGGTTTTTCACAAAGAAGAGCCTTGTTTTAAGTTGAAGGTCATCTCATCATATTTTTCAGATCTTCTTGTTCTTGAGAGTTTGTTCCTAACTTTCATTATATATAGCTTATTTATTTCACTTTCATTTGATTAGCTATATTCATTGAGTTATATTATGTTTATTCACTGTTTATCAACCACCTCTTTTGAGCTTAATATCGTTCATATCATATAGTGTGGGTTGTGGGGTGTGATTTTAGTGAGGTGGTGAGTTATTGAGCTTCTACTTGTTTTTGAGAAGAATCATTGTATTTAACTTTTGATTTGAGAGAATCACTTGTAGATACACTGTACACCCGAGAGAAGTGTGGGGAAGAGAGACGGTAAATAAATAGGAAGTGACGTCGTTGACAACCTAGGGGAGGTGTTAATGAGCTTGAGGAGGAGGAACGGGCGTAGATTCCTCACTAGTGTGTAAGTGTAGATTGTTGAGTGATTGTGTAGTGTGAGGTTTTCGGTTGAACTTGTAACAGAGTGTGTAGAAGTTGGCTTCCACCGGATTGGATGATAGTGATATTCTCGGGGTGAGAAGGGGGACGTAGGTGTGGGGACGATGTGAAAAATATCGTGTTTTGTGTTTTGTGTTGTCTAATATTTATTCTGTCAGTATTTTATTCGTCTCTATTGGGTCTTATTGTTTATATATCTTGAAGAACTTGATTACATAATTTTAATTAGATTTTAATCGATTAGGTTAGATAGATGTAATCACCTCCTCTAGGGTTAACACATTTCTATATCCTCGTTAATTCCCCCCTTCTCCCCGACCTTTCTCTCTATGGAATGTACGTGGCTTGCACGTGATAATTTAGTATATATAAATATTAGTATATATATATATATATATATATATATATATATACTAGGTGGAATACACGTGCACTGTACGTGGTCAAATATTATAATTATTTACTTTAAGTTTATTTATTTACTATAACATGGTTGTAAAAAACTTTATAATTATTGTAAGGAAAAGTTGCTTCCCGGCCCTAAATTTTAAATAGCAATGTCACCCAGCCCCTCATACCTTTACCTATGCGCTGCAACCCCCAACTTTTGAAAAATTTGTGCCCCAACCCCTTCAGCTCACCTCTCCCCAAGTTTCAATGCATAACTTGTTAAAATCCCAACTTTACCCTCAACAAGCTTCCTTCTTTCTTCCTCCTCCAGTCCTCCTCCTCCACTCCCCCCTCTGCCCCCTCCCTCAACTCTCTCATCCTCTCCTCCTCCCCTCCTCCTCTTCGATCCCGCGATGGCGCCGACTCCCTCTCCCGCACCGAGATCCGTCGTTTTTTGGGGTTTTTCTAATGGCCGACGACTCCGTCGCCGTTCTTAGCGACGTCGACGACGAAGACGCCTCCCCGGTACAATTTTTTTTTAGGAAAAGATGCAATTTTTATCTCTTTTTTTGCATTCTAGGAACGAATTTCCCCCCTTTTTTGTTGATGATTTTTTTGTTTTGGTTTTCTGTGAATAAGGGAAAGGGCAAACCTGGTGCTTGACGAAATGCTTCGGTGGAGAAAAAGTTTGTGTTTTGGGTAATTATGTTAAGGTGGAAAGTTGTTTTATGTAAAAATGAGTATGGGTGGCTATATGTTTGATGAAATGGCTCAAAAAACTCAACTTTCTGCTGTAATAAGGAGTTTGGACATGTATTGTGGCTTTGTTTTTATGTAGTGTTAAGCTTTTGGAGTCTGATGAGCTATTGAACTCTTTGTTTGCTCAAAAAACTCTTTAATGAGCTTTCGGACATGTACTGTAGCTCAAAAAACTCGACTTTTTGCTTGACGACATTGCCGACGACTCCGCCGTCGTTCTCAACGACGTCAACAAATGTTAATTTCAGGTTGAGGGTCACGATTGCTTACCAGAGAGAGCGTTGAAGCGCTTGGCGCATGGTGACATGTCAGTGGAGATTGTGTTTATTACTGATATATAAATAAGTTTTATTAGAATAAATTAAGAAATTGAGAGTGAAGAGTTTATTAGTTTCTCCTCCTCTGGATTATGTGAAATATTTATGAATGTGCAAAGTGTAGATTTGCTCAATGTATGTTTAGTATTTGTACTGA